CTGAGGTCTCCCTTGTGCATCCAAATTTCCTCTTTGTACAGACTCCAGTCAGTTTGGATTAAGGCCCACCAGAACCTCATTTTAGCTTCATCACCAGGTTTACAGCCTTATCTCCAAATATATTCACATTCTGAGGTACTGAGGGTTAGGACTCCAAATGTAAATTTTGAGGAGGCACAATTCAGCCCATAACAGTGAGTACCTGAGTTAAATTAGTTACAGTTATAGGTAATGTGGTTACTGCAATGTGTAGTGTTTATTGGCTTGGGCTCTGGAGTTTGACTGCCTTTACTGCATAGATTGCAATCATTTACAAAGATCACTGCTTACAAGCTTTCGGACTTTGGAGAGTTTAGGAACTCACCAAACCTCAATTTCTCTACTTGGAAGAAAAGAACAAAATGACACTTAACCTTAATATTTATTGCTGTACCAAAGCACATATAAATGTTAACAAATTTTATATTACTTTACAAATTATTTTTTAAAAGAGATGACCTTTTCCTTTGCTTTGTTTTTAAATATAACAGTTTTGTCTTTTCTTACTGTACACACGCACCACATATATAACACATATAAAATATGCAATGCCCTTTTGCCCAAATTTAGTATAATTTAGCTACTCCAGAATTAATTCATTATAAATTTTTGAAAAACAGTAGCTCCACAAACCTGTTTTCTATTGTCAGGCTAAATCCTAGATGTTAAATGTACAAAATTTCCAGGTGATGGACAGTGTGAAGCCATGAGTTAGGGGTTCAAGTATAAGGAAAGCTGGATATTGTTTTTAAAAACCAAATATAAACCCGTATGTACAACATAATATGGTTCAAAATTAGATATTAAAACTTTTCTATTTTCTTAACCCTAATCTAACAAAAGCGACAATTATGTCTATAAATAGCAGGGTCTGTATACTCAGTAAACAAACCATGCCCATCCCATTCTATTCTTAGATAAAAATGAGATGCTTATCTCTATGGTTTCTTAGTCTTTCCAGACAAGCTGAAAGGAATTCAGCAGAGGGAGTGAAGAAGTTGATAAGAGAGCTTTTCCAGATAAGAAGGTGAGTAAAGGCTGTTTTCCAGGTAGTGTCTTTCACAAAGGAGAATACAAACATGTCGTTGTTGATAAAGGGAATGTTGAGTAAAGGGAATAAAAAATTAACAATATAAAGAATTATTTCATCTTCTAAGATATATTAAAATACATATATTTTTTATTTATGGTCACAACATACCTATTTTTGTCCAAGTGAATAAGAGTGTATGAAGTATGTGTGTGTGTGTGTGTGTGTGTGTGTGTGTGTGTGTGTGTGCACATGTACAAGAGCGAGAGAGTAAGAATACGAAAGAGAATGAGAGAGAAGAAAGAGAGCCAGCATGCAGTGAGCTCGGGAAAATAAAGGAAAGAATTAGGCTGGGCTCCGTGGCTCAGCCTATAATCCCAGCACTTTGGAAAGCCGAGGCAAGTGGATTGTCTGAGCCTGCGGGTTCGAGACCAGCCCAGGCAACTTGGCCAGATCACGTCTCTACAATAAAAATAAATTAGCTGGGCATGGTAGCACGTGCCTGTAGTTCCAGCTACTTGGAAGGCTGAGGCAGAAGGATTGCCAGAGGCCAGCAGGTCAACGCTGGGTGGCCATTGAGTGTGCCACTGTACTCCAGCCTGGGCGCCAGAGTGAGACTCCAATTAAAATAAAAAGAAAAAAGAATTACACTAGCTGTAGAATGCTGTACATGAGAAAAAGTCAAGGCTAGATGACCATCCAAGTGAGTTCTTACTCTAGGGTTCTTTAGTAATATCAATTTTGTCAGGTAAGAGAAAGATAATACCTACTTTGCTACCTCACAACATTGCATAAACAAATCAAGAAAGCTAATAAATGTCAGATTGTTTTGAAAGCTGGGGAAAGGTAATATAATCATAAAGGACTATAGTTATTTATTAACCATTTCATCACCAAGATCTCCCTGGTTAGAAAAATAGAAAACTTGAAGAAGGATATGATAATTTTGGATTTTAGAAATAACCTTTGTTTTCAGTATCATTACTAGTCTACAAACACCTTTATCAATTTCTCATTTCTTCCCTCTGTGTCAACATCCTTCATGTAAATTCACATTCTGGACAACTTGATAAATGTATAGGACTGTAAAGTTGATAGTTTTTATTATCTAACTGCACTCCTTTCTAATGAAAGGAAATAAAATTCTATATGTTTGATGAATAATTGAAAGAGCTAAAAACAAAGATGGAATTTTGAGTTTGAGAAAAATATCCTGATAACCTAACTCTGACCCAAACCCAACTTCTCCAAAACTTCAATTCCATTCCTGTGAATTTAATATTCATGGTGATTTTCAGGAATAAGGAGTGATTAACAGAACATGTGATGAATCACTTCTGGCTTTACAACATTCCTAAAATGAAATGGAGTAAAAGCCCTCATGACATGACCCAGTTGACAGGTACTTCCAATTTGGGGACTGCTCACTGAATCTTCTTACAACTACCTTCTCCTCCTGGAAAAGTGTATCAGTGTCAAACCTTTTATTCATAATTTCAGAAGGTTCTGGGTGTAGGTGAGGAGCTCTCTTCCAGTAAGAAAACCAGCTCCTTCAATGTTTCCTCATAGCAGACATTCCTCAGAGACACAATCATCTTTTGGTTCTTCTATTCCACCCTAGCACAACTTTCATTCCTGGGGATCCTCTCCATTTGGGCTAGACTTGGAAACACCAGAGCATGCTTCACAGTTGCCAATTTTTCTGTAAGGCAGTAAACTTTTCTACCATTAATAACAGAGTATATAGTTGGGACACATTTCTTATGGTCTGACGGGGCAGATGAAAGATGAAAGGATAGTATTGGTAAGTTAATATTTAGAAGAAGCTTTTATAGATAGAGACAAGGAATCAATACAGATTGAAATTGAGCAATAATTTCGGTAAGTTTTATACAGCTACTGCTTTGATTTGTTTTAGGCATTGTGAAAAAGAGAATATAACCTTATATTTTAATTTCACCTCAAAATGTGTTGAGGCAGTTATTCTATGCTGTGTAGGTGTAACTCTGTTGATGAAATCCACCTTCCAGAGATGCTAACTTTTCTCAGAATATTAGAAATAATCTAGTACAACCACATTATTATAATGACATAAAAATGGAAGACCAGCTACTATGCTTTGCATGCATTCTTGGTATTGTCCTAAGCAACACACACACACACACACACACACAAACGGTCACTAATGTATTACCTCTAAAACTTAAAACAATTGTACAATGTAGGTCTTGTATATTAGAAAGCTGAGTCTCTGAGAAAATAAGTGATTTGCCCAAAGCAACCCAGTTAGTAATTAGTGAGCCAAGATTTGGACTCAGATCTACCTTGCCCCAAAGCTGGGTTTATTTGCATTATACTATGCAGTTGCAAAGACAAGATATCCTGAATCCCTTGTCCCATTCTCTTTTAATTAAGCTAGATGGACTTTGATTTCCTGACGTATAACAGTAAGAAATTTTGAACTTGTTCTCTGTGGTCACTAACCTTTCTGTACCATTGGAAAGCAACAGAGCTATGACAATAGTGCAGACTTTGAAATCAATAAGTATATTTTTATAGGACATACATTATTTCATGGGGGGAGGGAGGAAAGAACATACTCTCACCTAAATGTGTGGTCTCAGAATACTGGCATGGGCCCAATGGTGACCAGCCTGGATCTCTTTTCTGGCAATCATAAAAGGCCTTTGATTGCATGAAGTCCAAAGCTTTCCTTATATGGATGTGAAAACCCTGAGAAGTACTGGAACCAGACCATTTGGCTCTGACTTCAGTCACTTTGCATGGTTCTTCAGGTACTTCCTTAAGCTGGTAGCATAAAATATGCTGGGAGAAAAAAGATATTACTTGTAATAAGAAAGAAGGAACTAGGGGAGAAGAAACTTACTCTAGAAAAAAAATTACTTTTTTTTTTTTTTTTTTTGAGTTGGAGTCTCACGCTGTCGCCCAGACTGGAGTGCAGTGGCCACTCCCGGCCACCGCAGCCTCGACCTGCTGGGCTCCAGCGATTCTTCTGCCTCAGCCTTCCAAGTAGCTGGAACTACAGGCACGTGCTACCACGCCATCTAGTTTTTGATTTATTGTAGAGATGAGGTCTCGCCAAGTTGCCCAGGTGGGTCTCGAACTCTCGGGCTCTGACATTCCACTCACCTCAGCCTCTCAAAGCGCGGGATTACAGGCTGAGCCACCGAACCCGGTCAAGCTTTATTTTTAATGTAAAAATTTTGTTTTTACAAAGTTTCTGCTTTTGCTAATTTATAAAGGTGAAAGAACTTGTGGGGTGGGAAGAATGCCCTGCCTCTGCTATCTTAACTGCGTGCTCTTGGGAAAGGCTTTGCTCTTTCTCTGAGCTTCTGCTTTCCCACATAGTGTTAGAATTCTGCCAGGTTATCTCTTAGGATCATTCAACTCCAACATATATATGAGTCTGTGGCACTGAATTCAGACACTTCAGAGCAGCTACACATGAAAACAACCAGAATCCTAGTTTCTCCAGATGTGGAAATCTTTAATTCTTTACCTACTGGTAGGACAACCAATCTGGTCTTCTTTTCCTCTCCTTTTCCACTTAGGAAGGGAGTTCAGTTAGAAACATGTTTGTCTACAAGGTAGTATGTCTGGTGCTGCTGAGGAATTCAGTTCTTATTTAGGATTATGGAGTATTTAACTTTGAGTATGGTCCTTGAACTCAATATGCTGCTTTCTGGGGGAGGTATCATGAAAGCATATTACTACTTTAGAAACAGACATTATATGTTCAAATGGTGTGGTATATTGAGTCTAGCACAACCTTGAACAACTGGTTTATGTGGGTGTCACCATTACTTGCAATATATATATACAAGTAAGCGCATCTCCACAAGTTCAGTCACACAGCATCAGCTGAGCAATGCACGGAGTGGACCTGTAGGCAACTTACATCATCTTCAACATGAAGATAGCCACACTGCCAGTGCTTCTGACCTTGGCTCTTTGCCTCATACAAGGTGAGCAATTTGGGTGTAATCTTAGCCTCTTGCTACACACCTCAAAGCCCTGGGAAAGGGACTTTCTTCTCCTTACCCCTATCAAAAAAGAAAAGAATGTATGTATATATGTGTAATCTTGAATACCTTGCGAGACACAGAGTTTTGAAGATTTATATATGTGGCTGTATAACTTTATTGTTATTTTTAGAAGTGGCAGATAGAAATTTGGTTAATCTGAATTTTGTTCCATGGGAAATCTTTCCATCTTTTATTAGTCTGAAAAGTCAATAGATTGTTGTTCATCTTCCCCTTACCAAGTATATTAATTCATATTGCATATATATGTAATAGGCATTTAAAATTTATATGTAAATAATGTATGCATTTTAATTCTATATGTATAAATAGAATATTTAAAAACCATGTTTAGTCACCTGTTAATTATTTTATTTTTGTGTTTTTAAATTCTTACTGAATTAAAAATATTTCTCCTAAAGAGTACGGGACTTTTATAGGAGCTTGAAGGAAGGTTTTTTTTGTATTTGTAATTTCACTTTGAAGGGAACAGGAATTGCCTAGATTTAACTTACTCTGAAGCATTAACATCTTTAAAAAAGAGAACCTTGGAGATAGAAAGCCAGTGAGATCATATACAAATAATGCCCAATTTCCTAAAATAAATGTGCAAGTTTAAAAGAGTCTTTAAATGAGACTTTAACAGCTTGTGATTTAAAGTAATTTTAATTTTTGCCAGATCTCTAAATTTTGTGGCTGTAATGAAGAGGCAGAGTTGCCAAATTCATAAATCAAATTTTATATTTATATATAATATAAACAATGCTACATCATTCCTTTATATTACATTATAATTGGTATAAACTGGTATATATGTTATGGTATAATTTTAGAACTCTGAAAGGATCTTCTGGAAATTAGATATTTTGGTGAGGTTAGAAAGCACATGAGTATTATTTTCCAAAGTAATTGGAACTTTCAAAGTTATTAGACTTTCATCATTGTATATGCTAATCACCTGGTACAGTGCCTTAATTTTATTTGCCATGGTAAATCTTAATGCATTCAAAAATGCTTGTGGTTTTACAACAAATTGTCATTAAAGCAATCATGGCATTACATTAAATGAATTGTTTATTTTATTTATTAAATATTTCACATTCCCTTAACTTTGGTTTCTACATTTGTATCCAGATGCTGCCAGTGAGGATGAAGATCAGGTTAGTCCTGCTTTTTCTGTTTATTGAATCTGTTCCAAGATCTTTAAAGAAAAATGGTTTGTGGCCAACATCTTTATATTAAAAATACAAACATACTATATAAGTACTAATAGTTTGTGTTAAATCACAGAAACAGGTCTTTATGAATTAAGACATGAATCAATCTCCTCCCCCACACACACACTCAGTACTCAGTGTATTAATGATTGGGGTTGTCTGCAAGAGGCAATTATCATGTCAAAGGAGTGATTTAAAGTTTCATAAATAAGCAAAAAAAAATCAACCAGCAAACTACTATCATTGTTTTTAACAACTGAACAAGCTATGATACATCACATAGGAAGTTAAATAAATTTACTGGTAATCATTATGGAGAAAAGGGTTGTATTTGGTATCCAGTCAGCGTATACAGTTGATCTAATAAATGTTGAGCATCTATCATGTGTCAGATTCTGTTTGAGATGCTGGGGATATTTTGAAGAAAGCAAAATAGATGAAATGGCTTGCCCTTCTAAAACTTGCATTTTAGTGGAGGAAAACAAAAGTTAATAAATAGCTTAGTAAAAATATGTAGTACCTTAAATAATAATTAGTGCTAGGAGAAAAATAAAACAGAGTGCAGAATAAGAATTCCTGGGAATGGGGTCATATCCATCCTCATTGGGACAGTCAAGCACTCTAGAGCAATAGTATTGGAACAAGGTCTGAAGATCATAGGGAGTTTGCCAGGAAGAGATTTGCAACTTACAGAAAATCAGGCAGAAACCCCTGTGGTGGCAGAAACCCTGACGCAAGCGGGAGGGTGCTTTATCAAATCTTCCAGGTCTTTTCCTTGAGAAATAAAAGAATCATTTTCTATATAAGTCAAATTGTTTCACTTATTTGGAAGAAGTTAAAAGGACCAGTTAGACATACACATACACACACACATTTTACATATTTACATACCTATGCAAGCTACTATGCATACCATTCATTCATCACTTAAAACACAAATGTTAAGCCAGGCTCAGTGGCTCAGCCTGTATTACTGCCCCTTTGGGAGGCTGAGATGAGTGGATTGCCTGAGCCCGCGGGTTCGAGATCCGCCTGGGCAACTTGGTGAGACCTCATCTCTACAATAAATAAAAAAATTAGCCGGGCGTGGTAGTGTGCGCCTGTAGTTCCACCTACTCGGAAGGCTGAGGTGGAAGGATCACTGGAGCCCAGCAGGTCGAGGCTGCGGTGGCTGGGAGGGTGCCACTGCCCTCCAGCCTGGGCAACAGAGTGAGACTCCAACTCAAAAAAAAACAAAAAACACAAATGCTAAATGTTTTGCTAAGTATGTGCCAAAATTTGCCATGCCTCTCAAATGTCATAAACATTAAAAGAATAATAAAGCGAAACAATTCTCTACACCAACATTCTCAGAGAAAAATACTCTTACTATATTTTATTGCAACAATTAAAAAAAAAACTTTTTACAGGAATGTTCTAGAGAATTTTATCATAGTCTCTATTATTTCATCTAAGTTTGCTGATTTAGGAGAGGTTCAGAAAGTATAGTAGAATTGGGAAAAGCATACTCTGTTGGGTATTTTATATCAGAAGAAGGGATATTGTATAAATCTCCCTGCACATGAAGTCATCATTTTCTTTTTTAGAGTCCATGATAATAGGTGGAGATTTCTGACAGATCTGAGAATTTTTCACTGATATTTTTCTTACCATGAAACTCTATTTCACAAAAAATATTTTAAAAACCTAAGTTTGGCCACTTTTTATTGGTATAAAAGGCAAAAGGAGCACAGTGAAGTAGTAATTTATCTGGAAACCTTTCTGACCATAGTCTTTGGCTCTTGTGTCAGAAATGAATGCTATTGATATAGTCTTTCTTATGGTTTTTGTGATTTTTCCAAGTTAAGTGACTCCTGTTAGCTATTCTATTGAATAGTTATAAAAATGAGCAAGAACACCTGGAAAAACATTATTGCAATCTGCAATGATCTTAGGCCTAAATTTGTCCTCATAGAAGAGTTGTTATAAAGCAAAAGCAAACCTGTCATTGCTCTGCCATCAAGATGGGGTGATTCTGGCTCCTGGAGGATTGTATGATGAGATCTAGGGATGGACAATGGAAGAGAGCAAACTAGAGCACAACTAGTGAGGGAAACAGAAAGAACTTGGCCCTGGAGGGTGGTAGTTTTTCTGAGACATGTGGAGAAAAAGAACAGCAACAAAACAGAACAAGCTGCAAGTATACAGTCGCTGAAAAAGTCATCTCCCCACCTCAGGATGACTTTCTGGTCTAGATCTGTTCCTCTTTCAACCCTCTCTATTATGGTAACCCAACTATTGTTTTCAGTTCTTATGGTATGTTTCTGTTTCCCAAGAGAATACATTGGATCATTTCATAACTCAAAAAAAATATAGCACGAATCTCATCTAAACTAATTCAACACTGTGAGCAAGTTTCTTAAGCCACTCTCTGGACCTCTGATGCTCATTTGTTAAAAAAAAAAAAAAGTAGGTCTTTCTAGGAATTAAGCTCTCATCTAATTGTGACATTGGAGAAGTTCAATTTAGGAATTATCCTGGTTGATGCTATTCTTTTATGATTAGCTATTCAGAATTATTTAGAACTTCATTCCACGATTATCATGAGTCATCTTCTATATGCTTTCTATCAGACCTACCTCGCAAGACTTTTAGGAGTCTGTAGAATCAGTTGCATCTGGTAAGGTAAGCAGTAATTTACAAAGTTGGCAGAAGATGCTGTAGAGTCAGAGATCAGATAGATCACAAAATTCTTAGCTGTTAATCTCTTGCCAGAAATTACTACTGTGCTATTCTGACAAAATCACTGGGTGGTGTTAATAATCTTACAGATATTTTAGAAGGTCACCCTTAGCAAAATGTCCCAGGACCAGTCTCTGATATTATTTGGTTATTCTTCTTCAACATTAATCATTCTGCAAGTGCTACCAACTGCTTCTCATGTTTAAGATGCTGGATTATGTACATCGCTATTCATCCAGAAAAGGACACTTCTGTTCTATTTACTCTTGTATCTGTGGCACCTAGTAAAGTACATTAACCTCAGACAAAGTGATTGTTGACTAATTGAATTATTATTTTAAAGATATAAGAGGCTAAATAGAATCTTATAACAAATTTCTTTGTCAGTTGGAGCAAAATCTTGGTTTGTTTGTTTTCTGATAGAAGCATCTTGAGGGAAGATTCTTTTGGCAAAATCAAAACAACAAACAATGACAACAACAAGCCCATTAGATTTCAAAGGATTGATGTAAAGGGCTAGAGTTTTCTAAACTAATAAGGAATATAACATTTTAAGTCAGTACTTTACTAGGTAGCACAAATGCACTACTGATTTTGAGCTCATAACAAAGAGTGAGAACATATAGCAGGCCTTCAGTAAAATATACTGAATGAAGCTGGGCACAGTGGCTCATGCCTGTAATCCCAGCACTTTGAGAGGCAGAGACAAGAGGATTGCCTGAGCCCATGGGTTCAAGACCAGCCTGGAGAATTTAGCGAGACCTCGTCTCTACAATAAATCAACAACAAAAAATTACCGGGTATGTGGCACATGCCTGTAGTTCCAGCTACTTGGAAGACTGAAGTGGAAGGATGATCTGAACCCAGCAGGTCGAGGCTGTGATGGCTGTGAGCACTGTAACCTGGGCAACGGAGTGAGACTCCAATTCAAAAAAAAAAAAAATGCTGAATGAGAAGAAAGAACCCTCTCTTTTGAAGATCATTCCATTGTCTTTTTTCCCCACCAATTTCCTTACTCAAGATGGCTTCCACTCTCCTCCTTCAGCTTGGTATAATGCAGTCACTGGTATTTACAAAAATAAAGTTCAAACCAAGTATAATACAGCGTGTATTCAAGGATGTCACGCAGAATAGTAAAATAGTTCAGTGGGATGTGCCTAATAATAATAATAATAATAGAAAAGAGAAAAAGGCTCAAGCAAGCTTTAAGAAAATTGCACAGTATTTCCACAGATTCACAAGGTTTGATTGTGATGACAGTGATAGTGTTGGTGGCTTGGTGGTGATGGTGGTTCGGGTGAGGATAAGAATATTTGTTAAGAAAAGAATTCACATTTGAAAGTACAAAATGTCTAGGCCTCTCCCAGGATCTTGGAAAGGGATTGTGATCCTGAAAGTTCCTGAATCTTAGGCTTCATTAGCTTTAAGACCAGCCTGCCTATACTCATAGGGCAAATGATATATCAAAGGATTTGAGGGGACTTTTTTCAGAAAAAGAATCCATCTCGAAATGTTTTCCAAATATATATGACAAGCAAACCATTTTTTTTTTTTTTTTTTTTGAGTTGGAGTCTCACTCTGTCGCCCAGACTGGAGTGCAGTGGCCACTCCCGGCCACCGCAGCCTCAACCTGCTGGGCTCTGGCGATCCTTCCGCCTCAGCCTTCTGAGTAGCCGGAATTACAGGCATGCGCTATGACTCCCGGCTGATTTTTTTTTTTTTTATTGTAGAGATGAGGTTGTAGCAGGAAAAATAGAGAGATCGTGACACCGAGACTATTATAGGAAGTGGCACTTTATTACGCTGGCTAGCTCTAGCACAGCGGGGCCCAAGAACTTCATGCATTCAAATTAAGCTCAAGCACCCCAGAACAGGTGACCTGGGGTCTTATACCCTCATTTAGGTAAGGGAGGGGGGGTCGTGTTGAGTGATTACATACTTCCTTTGGAATCTTACAAGGTTGTACTCAGCAAAATCAGATTTTTCAAAGAACAAATGGTTTCCAGGAACTGCAGGATTGTAAACTTCAGAAGGGGGACTTTAGATAAGACTCTTTTTCATTTCGATGAAACAGCCAGTCTCTGGGCCATTTGGCCTTTCTTAAACAAAACCTGCCTGACAGCCCGGCGGGCCTTTAAAGTTGCAACTTGCCTTTCAAAGGGAAATAGGAAATACCTTTAACTGCTATCAACCTTTCCTTCTTGCGGCTAGGCTAGTGGCAGGCCAGGTGAGGCCAACTGCTGATCCCGAATCAGCCACATGTGTTTCTGTGTTTATTCACTCAATCACACAAGAAATATATTTGAGCATATGCTGCC